CATACTTGCAGCAAAGCACCTTAGAGAACAGAAACAGAGATTGATGGGTGGGAAAATGACTCAATGAACATCTGTGTCAGCCACTTTGAAATGTATAGTACAGAGGGAATTATCGATAAGGTCAGAGTCTTCATGTGAAGGCAACTCTGTTTGCAACTCTGAAGCAAGAAGTGAAATAGCTTGGAATGCAATTTGACAGATATGGTGGTGAGTGAGGCCCCAAGGAGCTTGCACTGACAACAGGAAACCTTTGTTTTGAATTGTCTAAGGTTGGTAAAAGGTCAAAATTATTCAAATGCTGAATAGAGCAAGTAGGTGAATCCTAAACTAGCAGATACGTGAAGCATTGGAAAGCCAAATGCTGCATCTCTCATACAGTGGTAGGTGCATTTTTTGTGAAGTTTACATCTGTCTTTTTAACTTCTTACAGTATCCATTTTTGCTCATTTTACATACAACATTTTCAGTTTATAGATATTAACATAAATACATACTGGAAAAAGACATGAAAATACATTTGAACAAGAATTGCTATGTGAGTAACCATCAGTAAATTAATTCAGTTAGTTTATGAGCAGTTATTTTAAATCTGCTCATAGGAAAGTGACAAATTTTAAATGAAGCAAATGACAAATGACCAAAAGAAGAGGCCATGGAAAGGGCATAGATGTTTTCTAATCTGCTGCTGAACTACTTTGTGATCTTAGACAAATCATTTGTGTACAACTTCCTACCTTTTGTAGCTTTATTAATTAGGACTATAGAGGATTCCCCTGCCACGTGGCCTGCACCTTGTAGTGTATTACCAACTGATCAGAACCAAGAATGCAAAAATGAAACTTGATTCTAGGGGAAGAAATCTTTGCCTCTTTCCATCAAATCATTCTGATAGGTGGCCTGTAATTTAATTGTCTCATCACTCACGAATTTTCATTGTTTTGAGACAAAGAATGCAGTTGTTCCTGAAAAGTTTTCCTTTCCCATTTTAAAATGTCAATGTCTCTTGAATCTATTCAGTCACCTACACCTGTTTTATAGCACAGCCCACAGCTGCAAAATATGCAGGAGCATGAAGCATGTGCTAATGAATTGTAGTATTGATTTCACAAGCAGTGTTTTAATGTCATTTCTCTTGAAAAATGAGTGAGTGATCTGGGCTCCAAAACTCTTAATACATGTTGCATGTGGCAATAGACAGTCTGTATTCTGTAATATGTTTTGTTATTCCAGAGTAAAGTCTACACTGTCTTGCCACAGTGAATAAGAGCAAAGTATTCGTGCTGACTTTTTTCACACTGTTGGTACATCTGAAAAGCATTCAACGTGATTTTGTTTTCTTATGAGCATGGCTTTGTGGGTGTGGATTGACTTGCCCTCCAGAGAGACTCCCTGGTTTCTGCTTCTCAACACATCGTCTTCCAGAGGAGGGTTGGCACAGTCGACTCTGGTTTGCCATTCATCCACTGCAGATTCCAACATTATTCTGTGGTCTTACGATTTGAGTTTGACATTCATACTAACTTAGCTAAAGCTACTGAAAACTCACCATTACTCAATAATGACGAGCTGCTCAGCTGTATGGCTTGTTGCATTGCTAGGGTCTGTAGTACACTCTTCCCTCCATGCTTACCCAAATAACTCAGGTCAAAACTTAACTTCCTTCTGCTTGGATATGAGGAACCTGATACTAGCCAGAAAGGCCATAGAGAAGACTGGAAGGAAGTCATTTTTCTTATCTCCTCAACCTGCTGGTGCAGATTTCCAACGTGCCCAGTTTATGGGAGTTTCTGTTTGTATCCCAAAGTATGTTTGGCCTGAAAATCATTGTTCCTCTCATGGAAATTTGACATGACGTTTTAGACCTTTCCTACAGCTTGAAGAAACCTGTTCTACTTACGATTATCTTGCAATCCAATAAATAATAGCAGCTGGTCAGAAACCTGGTCTATGTGGAGAATAGCTGGAAACACTGTTGTATTTGTTTAATTATTTGTACCAATTTTATTTTTGCAGGGACATGCTAAGCCTTTTCTTGTACAAAAAGGGAAATATGAAAAAAAGGGGTAAAAAAAAGTCTTAATTTGAAATGCCAAGTACAGATCTTTGTGTAGACTTTCATATATTCCAGGACCTGCCCTTCTCTTTTTATGCATGATCACATTTGCTCCAAACATCTAAGAAGCTTCTGTTGGTGTTGGGGGTTAACATTCCTAGGATTAGAAGTAGAGCTTTCGGAGTCAAGGCCCCCCCCCTTTGGAATTAGTTTTCCTTGGTTTCCTGCCAACGTCCAGCTCCAGTGAGCTTCGGAACACATGGGGAAATGTTTATATTTCGGTTAGCTTCTCTCTATTTTTAGATGGTTTGGTTTTGCTTTGAATTTTACTCTACAGATCCAAAGATGGTAGATTGGCAATTGTTTTCTAAGAGAATTATTTAATATTACCCATCATGACAAGGTTCCTGTGTCCTTTATCTGTAATCTTGTAAGAACACATTGTAGCCCGTGAACGAATATTTGTATTTTTACTTCCATGTCATCGTTTTCCAACCTGGGCTACTGGGAGTACGTTGAGCCAAACTGGAAAAGCTCCCAAGCCCAGACTGTTGTTCCCTGTGCGTGGTGTTGACCCTGTTGTGTGGAGGGAGCAGGTGAATGCATGGACTGACTGGGGTTGGGTGATTTGCTACCTACATGTGCTCCCACTTCACGTTGACCAATTCTGCAGTTATCTTTGTGTCATCATCAGTATCATGTTTGTCATATAGCAGGATGTTTAATTCTTTCTACCCCAAAATGTGGACAATCTTTAAATGATTATAAATAAAAGATTGCAAGTAGTATATTTAAATTTCAGTATTTATGGCTTGACTGTTTTATTACTTACCTCAATTTTAGATACAGATGCTCATTGTTTCAGAAAAATACTTCATATTTGCAACAAGACATCAGAGAAGACAGTAAGACCCATAAATATTTGTTACGCTTTAAGAATAATACAAAAGAATCTTTAGAGGTGTATGTTTTTAAGGTGCAGGTTTGATCCTTGACATATTTTTATTTCTGTTGTGATATTAGCTCTTGCCTTTTGCCCCAGTATATTGTTACAGCTGCTCAGGTGCCATCCATTCAGGTTCCCACAGTAACAGTTCTGCTGGGAAACAACAGAACCCAAGGGGAAGAACACGAGGCATGCTGCAACACCTGGGAATACTGATGGGAGTGGCCCAGTGCATCTGTGAAGCAGAGTGCCTCCTGGAGGGCTCAGTACCTACATCAGATGGATCGGGTATAGACTGTGTGTGCTCAGAATCATAGCATGGCTTAGGTTGGGAAGGACCTTAAAGACTATCCACTTCCAAACCCCTTGCTGAGGCACAGTTGCCACCATTAGATCAGACTGCCCAGGGCCCCATCCAGTGTGGCCTTGAGCTCATCCACGGATGGGGCACTCACAGCTGTAGACTCTCCAGAAAGGTTTCCAGTTAACTTTCAAAGCAGATGCTTATCAGGACCATGTGGTGTTAGATTTAGGAGTGCAGACACCTGAGGGCATCCTGATAGAGGAATAGCTAGGTTTGTGGTTGCCATTTGTTAAGGTTGGCAAAGACCTATAAGGTCATGAAGTCCCAATCGCTGATCCACCCGTGCCATGCCTGCTGACTGTGTCCATCATTTCCATATCCACATGATTCTTGAACGCCTCTAGGGATGGTGACTCTTCCTGTGTAGCCTGTGCCACTGCCTCACCATTCTTTTGGAGAAGAAAAGGATTTAACCTGAACCTCCCTTGGTGTATCGAGACCTGTGAGAAGGGGACTGCTGAAAGGTTGGCCCAGCTCGGGCAAAAACATTTCAGATACCACAGGTTTGGTGTAAAACACTCTTAACGAGGTTGCATTTTCCCTGCGCTGTGGAACTTTGGTCTGAGAAGGAAGCCCACACAGGGAACGAAGTAACCGCGGGCACACTGCGGCCGCGATCGCTTTAGGAGCTCACGCGTGATTTTTTTTCGGGCTGTATTTTTTGCGGAGCAACTCGGAGGGCCGGCGGCGGGTCCTGCTTGTAGCTTCCCTGCCGGATTTGGCTCCGTTTCCCTCCTCGCTCCGCTCTCGCCGTGCAGTGCTGCGTGGCGCCGGCAGCCTGAGCAGAGGGAGCTCCAGCCCCACGCAGCCGCTCCGGCCGCCGCCAGCAGCTCGGAGCCCCCATCTGCAGGGCGGGTGGTGCTGGGGGGAGGCGAGGGGAAAATAAAATAAAGGCAACACCCGGGTCAATGCTCGGCTCCGCTCGCCGCCAGCACCTCGCTCAGGTCTGAAACCGCTTCGCTTTGCTGTATTGCGCTTGCCTGGGCTGGGGGGAGGGGACGAAGGGGAGGTTTAACTTTTACTTGACATTAGCGGGTTATTGTCAGCCTCCCCGGGCCGAGCCCCGCGGCCTCCCGCGCCCCCTCGCCCGGCCTCCGCTCCTCCGCTCAACTTTGTTCAAAGGGCCGCGGCCCACGGGGCTCCTCCGGGCCCGGGACACGGACGGCGCCGATAACCTCGGGGCGGCGAGTTGGGCTCCGCGGCGGAGAGCGGCTCCGTCCGCGTTCGCTGAGTCGGGGCGGCTGAAGGCCACCGCGCCAAGGACACGCGCGCGCACACCGCACTCCCTCACACACACACACACACACACACACACAGAGGATACAAAAGTCGGGAGGATCGCGGGCAGAATCGCGGTGCAGCCGGAGCCATGCGTGCCACGGCCTCGTGAGGGGGAAAGGCAGGCGGGGAGGAACGGAGCGAGGAAAAGCAGAAAGGAGGAAAAGAGAGCGGGGAACGCCAAAGAAAGAAGCGGGGTGGTGGAAAGTGTTCGCCTGCTTTTGTCTCGCAATACAGTGAACTGGAAGATGGAGATGGATGTTAAGGGAGTTTCTCCGTGCCCGGAGCCCATCCCCCCGGCGGCGGGGGCTGGCGGCTGCCCGCACCAGCGCCCGCACCACCGCGATGGGCAGCCCGCCGAGCCGGCCCCCGCCGCCGACAGCGGCCACCCGGAGCGGCGGCACGGCAGCGACAAAGAGGACAAAAAGGTACGTCCGCACCGCTCCGCGCCCTCCCGCCCGCACTCCCCGGGGCGGGTGGGGGCAACCGGCCCCGCCGCCTCCGCCCGGCCCCGGCCGCGCCGCCTCGGGCAGCCCCGCGCCGCCCTTTGTGAGCGCGGCGGCGGCGGCAGAGGGAGGCGGGGGGCCGGTGGCGGAGGTTGCTTGAGGACAGCGGGGCGGGGAGGCGCGGGGCCGGGGCGGCGGGCATTGTTCCGGCCGGGAGCCGCCGCCGCCAAAGTTTGCCTCGCTCGCGGAGGGGGAGGGGGGGGGGGCAGCGCCGGAGGGTCCTCCCTGCGGGTCGGGCGGCGGCGGGGGCCGCTCACCTGCGGGAAGGAGGGAGCCCGCTGCCCGCCCTCCGGCCCTGCTGTGTCATCGCGAGCCTCGGGTGGCGAAGTTCGGCGGGAAATGGGTCAGCCCGCAGCGCTCGGTGCGGGGACGTCTCCCGGCGGAGGAAAAGTCGGGAGGGTGGCACGGAGGGAGGCTGCCATTGAGATCGCAGCGGCGGTGCGCGCTTTTGTCTGCGGGCGCCGGCTTCATTTCTGCTAGTTGTCCCCGGCGTGCGGGGCTGAGCCTGGGGCTGTCGGAGCGCTGTGCGGGCGCTGCTGCGAGGAGCGGGGTTGCGCGTGCCGCGATGGGAGCGGCGGGGCGTGAGCGGCAGCCGGGCGGTTCGCTGATGAACGCCCCGTGTAGCTGCCGAGCCCAGAGCGAAGGCGAAACGGAGAAACGTTGCGATCTGCTGCCTCCGAGCCGCGGGTCTTAAAGTAGTTTTACTGTAGTTTGGTTTCGTTGCAAATGGGGAAGAGAACGGGGACGCGGCGAAGGAATGCGGAACGACGGTGCAATAAATGAATGCAACAACTCTGTCAGACCGCCTGTTTGCGTGAGGGGAGCTGAAATCGGCGTGAGAAATGCAGGGGCTTTGGGAAACCTGGTGTCTGTCACCGGAGAGCCCTGTTTTGTGCTATTTGCTTCGTACGGTTCCAGAGTTTTCAGTTTGACCGTATCCATCCTATTGTTTTAATTACAAGGGAATATCGCAGCTTGACAGTCTGAACAGGGCCTGCACAGCTCGATAGGGAGGATCCAAGGGTTTCGTTTTTCCAGTGGTACCCCGTGGTTTGTGTACGGTGGGAGATGAGCGCAGAATTCCATCTCCCGTGAGTTATGAATATTTCATTCTGACGTGACTGCATGTTACTGTGCACAGCGAAATGCATTGCGTGTGGCTGTTTCTAGGATCTCTCGCCTCGCATCGTGTTGCTTGATGGAATGTAGGAATGTAGAATGCAGTACTTCAAAATAATTGCAACGGAGAGCCACAGTTGCCGTTCACATGGGTTGGTTGTGCCGGCACGAGGAGTATTTAAGCCCTGCCATCGGCAGAAAGCCACGCTCCGTAGTTACTTTTGGCCGTGCCACAAGGTCTGTGTAATGCTTTACCCATTGTGGGCATGAGGAAGGCAAAGGACGCGTGGCTGAAGGTGAATGAGTGCTGGGGAAGGCTGATTATCGATGGTATGACTAATTAGTCCATTGCAATGTTGTAATTAACAGCACTGCATTGCTTTGTTCTGTATTTGCCAGAATATTTTGAACGTGAAAACAGAAGCACTACCTTTTTTCCCTCCAGCTGTAGCCATGCAAAAGTACTGTGATAAATTCAGTTTTTATTTTTTTTAATTGAATATCAGCTTCTCCAGGCTTGCTGTTGCCAAAGGGCTTGCAATGACTTTAGCTTGTATTTTTTGGGGGAAGTACTGTGAGATTTCAAACCTTCCTCAGCGTGTCTTTTCTGGATACTATCCTGGGACGACCAGTGCCTCTTGTTAGTGCAAAAGTATTTTGGATATCTGGTGAAATAGTGGCACTAGAAACGTGATGAGAAGCAGAGAACCCACTCAAGTGGTAGTAAAATCCAACCCTACTGTAGGAAAAAAAAGTGCAGGCACAAAACAAAACCCCCAATTTGTTGGGGATGTCATCTAAGAGCTTTCTAAATGGATTGGAACGACAGTACCATTCTATTTTTGCCCCCTAAACAAATGTCTTAGACATGCTGATACATTTTAGAAGTGTGAGCACTCTGTGTGGAAAGTGTAAAGAATGAGAGAACTTGATCTTGTGACATGTATACTTACAAATTCCTAAACACTAAGATCTTACAGAGTCTGGTGATTCTACTGACAGGATGTGCTTTTTAGGATCATTCTTGAATTGTGAACAGCCTCACGTTTTATCATTCAGCGTCATTGTCAGCGGAGGTGAAAGCAGTTTACTTCCACCTAAGTGGAAGTGGGTGAATTTATATTCTAATAAAGGTACTTTTTGCCACTACCTCCAAAAAGATCGTTGCAGCATTAAGCAAACATACTCTTAATTCTGTGGAATTTCAGTGGAAGATAATGCTGTACTGTCCATTTCTATTGATATTGGGTTTTTTTTGGTCTTTTCCCTTTTTTTAATCTGTCATATGTTTGTTTTTCATTTGTCTTTGAACTTCAATAAAATTCTGATACATGTACACTACTTGAAATACATTCCACTGTCTTCAGCTCAGATGCTGTCATGCTTAAGAGTGTGCTTCAGTGCTTTGTTGGGGGCAGTCCTAGGTTACCTCCCACAAATCTTTCTGTGTTGAAACCATCTCTGAGCAATGCCTGAGTAGAAAAATGGTGAAAGTTGGCTTTTATAATTTATTAAGTATACAGTACTTGGTGCTTTAAAGTGCAGCTGCCATTTAGGTGGGAAAAATTAAGCAGAAAAGAAGGCAAGATTTGGAAGACAATTAATATGGATGTCAATTTTTTTTCTTCCTATTTAACCAGAACACATGAGAGAATGTTTTTCAACACTGCTACGATGTTTTCCATTATTTGAATCAGAAGGAGATAGGTGTAACCCCACACAGAGCACCATGCCGACTTCTTCCTCTATGGTACAGTGGGAGAGCAATTCTGTCTTAGAAGGGATGGGTATAGGGAGTGCTGGAGCAGTTGTCTGCAGGAGCTGGTGGGTTCAGGTAACATGCTACAGCTGGCGCTGGGATGAGAGTTTTCCCAGGGCTGGTACTTCACCTTAGGACTTTCAGCAGCCAGTGTTAGTGTTCTTATCTTCCAAAGTCCTCTAAAAGTTCTGCCTAGGTATGGATTTGCTCGTGCAACTTTGCGCAACCCAATTAGAGCATTTTATTTTGTTTTCCACTGAGGAAAACCTCAGGATGCCTGAGGTTTGCACAGGGCGTTTAGCACAAATGATTTACAAGCCCTCCCAGAGCTTTCACATTATGCCTGCGTTCCAGATGTAAAGACCCCTGTGAAATATCTCCAAGGTGAAGAACCTTCTGTGTATTTAAACGGAAACGAGCACGCCAAGGTTACTGCAACAGCAAGCCTATCTGACGGGGCACGTTGTATTCTATTTCAAAAACAATTTGCCAGTGTTTGATGTGAGGGTTCTGAATTGTTTTGTGGGCTTATTTGTGCAGCACTTCCCAGAATGCTCTTGCGTGACATTGCTTTGAGTGGTACCCAGGTGTGAGCTTCTGGAGGGGAAGAGCTGAGTGCTCTGGGGGAAAGCACTTGGTATTGACTTGGGAATTCTACTCTGCTGCACATGTGTTCTGCCACGAAGCTGATTGTCAGCATCTGAAAGCCTTCTGCTTGTGAATTTACAGGACTACTGCCGTCACTGATGAAGTGGTTATCTTCCACAAACAGAAGGTCAGGAAGAGTGAAAGGATCTTTGGAATGCATTCCTTTTTAATAACATCTCTTAACATACGTACTTTTGTTTGGTTTGAAAAGCGATACGTAGCTAAGTGTTTTCCTTTAGAAAAGGGAAGACCTAAGAAACGCGATTCCTGCTTGGAGCTGGTGGTAGGAAGTTTTGCGTTGTGGGGAGGTCGTTCCAGTTACAGGTCAAACATGTTTTCATCACTGCAGGCAGGCAGTTCCACCATGCACAGGAGAGCAGTTCTCAGCCACTGTTTTCCTGGAGATCTAGATGTTCTTTCAGATAACTTGGGACCAGCCCATGGAACAACTTGAAATTAAGGACTAAAAGCTGGTGTTGAAGTCAGTGGTGGATAAGGAGGACCAGACTGAGGTGGGTGGGACAAAGGAAGTGGAGACAATACTGCCAGTTGCTGATATTAGCAGCTTCTCTTGATCATTCTTTAAATCGCAATGTCCTGTACTAGTGGGAGTTTCCAAGCACTGAAGACCTTTTGCCAGGTGTATCACAGGGTATGGTCCTGCCAACATGTAATGCAGATGTGAAGAGCCAAGGTCAGGCCACTGGCATCCCAGACAAACTCTTGTCACTTAGAGGTGGGAGAAATCTTCACTTGTGGTTGCTGATATTCTGAGAGTTTGCTGTCAGACAGAAATTTCAGTTTTTACAGTGTGGGCAGAGGTGAGGAACTTGTCTAACTCATTGCTAAGAAAGTTTCAGAAACTTCCTCAGCCCAACAGCGTCAGTTCTAACTTCTTCATGTCCACTTTTAAGCATCTTTATTCTTAAGCTGCCAGGTTCTATGATATTCATGTTGATTTGTGTTGCATAGTTCAATGTCTTCAGACAAAATGGTCTGAAGAAAAGCTTATTCAGTGCTGACACCACCACCTTCCAGAGTTTCCAGTGCCTGCTGGCTGGCTGGATGGTGGGTCTGCCCAATGCCACTGACCATCCTGAGTACCTCATATTTGGGGCTGTGTCCCACGGAGTCCCACATCATGGCTGTAAGGCAGACTCTAATGTGGGGAGCGTCTGCCTGGAATGGTACCCAGGGCCACAGCGCCTGGCAGGTGCCTGTGGAAGGGAGTCTCTGGTCTTTTATTCTGCTGCTGCAGGCAGCAGAGCTCTTAGCTGTGCCATCAACAGTTTTCAGTGAGCAGGGCCCAGGGGCTATCTGCTCTGATGAGAATTTAAAAAAATTTGGATTAAAGAAATCAAAAGAGGCAATTTGCTGTGAACTGAGAGCCTTGCTT